GGGATCCGTTTATGTGTTTAATGACTCGATCGACGAGATCTCCACACAATTCCATTGTCGGCCCGACTATGAAGTCTATAAAACCTATTCATTCACATTGAGATCATGAGTTCAATTCATTTCACATATATTTCATTCTGTTCTTCATTTAAAGCAAACATTCTTTAGTTTTCTCTCAAATACTCTTTATATCTCTTTATAAAGATTTCATACAACTTATTCATTGGATTATCATACTGTATATAATCCTACTGTATATCATACTGTGCTTATAACTAATTTTATCGCAAAAGTTTTTTTCTAACTTGTTAATGTAATTTTACTAATTAACATTTTTAAAGAATATTCTGTTCTGTAATTCTATAATACATTATATTTACAAAAAAACTGAAATATTCATTTAAATCAAACTTGTTAAAAATATTTGTTTAAAGTGCTTGTTTGTAACCAATGACTGAGTACGTACTTATTGAATAAGCCCTTACAAATGATATAATAGATGAATTTATTGTATGATACGAATAAAGCGGTATTAATGGTGAATAGTTGGCTCAATAGACTCTATAATAGCGCCTACCTATTTGCGACTGTGGTATTAAAGTAGTGTTGCGGTCACATAAGGGTGAATAAGGCAGTCCGAGCTCTTTCTCCATATCTCCCTAAGCAGACAGAAATTGAGGCAAAGTTTTATTGATTGAATGTTTGAAAAGATAATTTCCTGTTTTTAGAGAAACAAATAATGGAAACCTGTCTAAAGAACTCTTCCATCAAAAGTTTGGTCCATTTGTAGTGAAGGTTAAAGCTTTTGCTGGGATTTCGAGTGGAAGCATAAAACTGTTCTCAAACTTAAATTATATCTAAACCTAAAAAATCCGATTAATTTCTTTGATTGAACCCTTATATTCATTTTTGTGGTCAATATTTTATTGTTCAATAAACCATAAACATGTATTTATTTATACATTCATATTCTGCATATATACCTTTACCATACTTACCTGGAATGCCGTTATAATTATTTTATGAAACCAATTACTTTATATACCTGTATATATAATTCAATGCATGACATTACTATCATATTTAAGTCTATTGGCACGTATTAAGTTCACTTTTGTATTGATATGTTTTAATATATTGTTTTTGTGATGGGTTTTCATTAAAGTAAAGTCTTGTATAAGTCTTATATATGTTTGTGAAGTACTGTATTATGCGATGAATTGTTTTTGATGCAATGAATATAACGATTGAATGCATTGAAGGCGTCTATTGGATGAGGACGACGAGCTCTCGGAAGTACAACCCGATGCCGTGCCAAATGAGGTCAGGGAGTGGTTGGCCTCCACTTTCACTCGCAGTAATAACTCACAAAAAAGACGTCCTGAAGACAAACCAAAGTTCAGATCAGTTGCTCACGCCATTAGGGCTGGCATTATGGTCGACAGGTTTGCCACATATTCTTGATTTCTATTTATTCTCTGAACAAATGCTTTAATCATTGAATTGTAATCCATTGGTGCAGAATATATAGACGTCTGGCCGGTGCCACAGCACTACATATCCCGCCCGACGCCGCTCTGCTCTTAAAGGTATGTCCGGTAGAGCCGGATGTGAATGATATGAAGAACTCATTCCGTGTTATGTCTAAACGGAATGTTATGTTTTGGACAGGGAGTGGACGAGTGGTGTTTCGATGTGTTCGCACTGAACGACACCTGTAAGGGACAAGTGCTCCGATGTCTGAGCGCTGATCTGCTTAATAGATACGGATTAATACATAAATTCAAAGTATTGACTAATATTTCATATAAAACTAATTTATCACTTAGTTATCATATCTGTATTACCTAGCATAACCTAGTATTACAATAGTTTATTAATATTCCTAAAAATACAATTTCCAAATAAAATGTTTGTTTGTTTTGTTGCACAGATTCCTTCATCCAATTTAGAGAATTTTTTGTTGCAAATGGAGCAGGGTTATACCAAATACTCAAATCCATATCATAATAATCTACACGCAGCCGATGTCACTCAAACCGTCCACTACACGCTTTGGGCCACTGGACTCGCTGTAAGTCATTAATCATTCTCTCTCTCTCTCTCTCTCTCTCTCTCTCTCTCTCTCTCTAAATATTTAACTCAATATTATTTCACATATTATATTATACAAAACTTATTACTTTATTTTATAAATAGTCACACAACATATAGTAGTTAAACTGTAGTCAATAAAAGTTTTAATGTTAGGCATATGGAATGCATAAAAATTATATTTAAAATTAATTGCAACAAATGACAAAACATTATTTACTTTCATTAGAAAAATAATTTACAAATATATTACTAAATTTACTGCATTGCAGACAATAATTGCTTTCAATTTTAATATAATAATAGACTTTTATTTTGTTTTATACAAAAGTATAGAATTTTTGCAGAATAAAGATAATATTATTTGATGTTTTCAATAATGTGTTCAAAATAATCAATATATGAATATGTGTAGTAAATCTGTGAATTGTTGATTTTATTCTTATATTTAATTACAAGTTATTTGTGACAAAACAGACCTTTTCTGTTCATAATAAGCAATGTAGCGAAATAGTGTCTCATGTTAAAGGCAAGTAATGTAATATAATTATAATAAGCAAAAAGTACTAGAGGCAAGTGTGGGGTATGGTATACAATATACAATATACAGTACTGTAGAGTAGTATATGTATGGAATATTCTGGTCAATAGACTGTATCCTACTTATTGTGGTTTTAATAATTGAATCATTCGTTTATAATTAGAAAATATAATCCTTTAGTAGAAGCCATTCATTTCAATTCATTTTAATGGGTTTACAAGAATGACATTTAGAATAAGTAATTACATTTGATCAATTATTAAACTCGTATAAAAAGCTATGTTTTTTCACATGCAATCAAAAGTGTTAATCATTAATATATAAACTGATATTAAGGAAGAAGTTATCAAAAGAGAAGGAAGAAAGTGGTCGTCAATAGCCATAAGATTCACATTTAGCAGAGATATTGATATAAAAGAAAATTAATGTTTTGTTGCTGAACATCAAGTAACACAACGAGAATATAGTGAATACGAGCCAAACACACACTACTGTACAGATTCTGTACTACAGATTCTGTAACTATTGATTATATTCTCTCATATCATATCATAGAAAGACTTAATTAAAGTGAGCGAAAACTGATCAAACATCACATTACAGTCTATATGGACTACAGTATAGACTATAGACACAAGTAGTGAATAATTTTGCTATCGATAACTCATTTCGGTTTCTAAAACTTATTTGTTCTGTTCATTAGAGCAGACATTCCGGTGCTTACAGTCGAAGCAATGGTTAAAATATGATAAATGTTAGACACATTACACACATTAAAACCTTAAGGAAATAGTTTTCTAATAACTCTTTTATGCAACAAGTCCGAGGGTATAGATATTATACGATATACTATAGTATTTACTATATATTTATGCAATTTATCATTTCGTAAGTGAAGTATAGATCTGTAGATTTGGGAAGCCATCGAAAGGCTGCAAAAAGCACTTTAATATAAATTCTTTGAGCGAAAAGCGATTTAAAACCGTTATTACATCTAATATATTATGTGCTATAATATATATGTGCTATAAATGTAGTAAATATTGTCTACAATTTGACAGCAATGGCTCTCAGATCTGGAAATATTTGCAACACTGATCGCAGCTATAATACACGACTACCAGCACACGGGCACTACCAATAATTTTCATGTAATGTCCGGGTCAGTGATGAATATAAATAGATTTTGACAAAAAGCTCAAATTTGTGCTTAACCTAACCTAAGCTAACTTTCCATTCGGTGTTTCAGTTCCGATATAACCCTAGTATATAATGATCGGTCAGTGCTGGAGAACTATCACATCAGCGCCGCCTTCAAAGTGATGCGAGAGAGCGACTCCAATATTCTCATCAATTTGAGTAAAGAGGAGTACAGGTATTGCCTACATTGCCACTGATTGCCATCCAGTCGCCCATTCCCCAACCATACCTTTCTCTCAATTAGATCTGAGACAACCATTGATTATAACTTATGTTTTAAGCAATAAATGCGAAGATTTCTCTCTAATCTCTTTATAGGGAATTTCGGACTTTAGTTATTGATATGGTTTTAGCGACTGATATGTCCTCGCATTTCCAGCAAATAAAAACATTAAAAACACTTTTAGGACACACGGAGTTCAATATCGATAAATCCAAAGGGCTGTCATATCTACTGCACAGCTCCGACATTAGCCATCCCAGCAAAAGCTTTAACCTTCACTACAAATGGACCAAACTTTTGATGGAAGAGTTCTTTAGACAGGTTTCCATTATTTGTTTCTCTAAAAACAGGAAATTATCTTTTCAAACATTCAATCAATACAATTTTGCTTCAATTTCTGTCTGCTTAGGGAGATATGGAGAAAGAGCTCGGACTGCCTTATTCACCCTTATGTGACCGCAACACTACTTTAATACCACAGTCGCAAATAGGTAGGCGCTATTATAGAGTCTATTTCGCCAACTATTCACCATTAATACCGCTTTATTCGTATCATACAATAAATTCATCTATTATATCATTTGTAAGGGCTTATTCAATAAGTACGTACTCAGTTATTGGTCAGAAACAAGCACTTAAACAAATATTTTTAACAAGTTTTATTTAAATGAATATTTGAGTTTTTTTTCTAAAGATAATGTATTATAGAATTACAGAACAGAATATTCTTTAAAAATGTTAATTAGTAAAATTAGATTAACAAGTTAGAAAAAAACTTTTGCGATAAAATTAGTTATAAGCACAGTACTTATATATACACTGTATATTATACAGTATGATAATCCAATCAATAAGTTGTATGAAATCTTTATAAAGAGATATAAAGAGTATTTGAGAGAAAACTAAAGAATGTTTGCTTTAAATGAAGAGCAGAATGTGAAATGAATTGAACTCATGATCTCAATGTGAATGAATAGGTTTTATAGACTTCATAGTCGGGCCGACAATGGAATTGTGTGGAGATCTCGTCGATCGAGTCATTAAACACATAAACGGATCCCTATGTGAAATGAATTGAACTCATGATCTCAATGTGAATGAATAGGTTTTATAGACTTCATAGTCGGGCCGACAATGGAATTGTGTGGAGATCTCGTCGATCGAGTCATTAAACACATAAACGGATCCCAAGAAGTAACCGATAAAAAGGATTCCGATATTCATTTAGAGCTTAAAACGAGAATTAAATCTTCTTCGGCATCCATGCGAAGCACTCAACGAAATAACCTGTCATTAGATTCCGGAACCGATTCAACAAATTTAAGGTGAGTTTTTTGGTGCAAGGCAATTTAAGGCAATTCTTACGCAAGGAATATATCATTTGGTGACAGAATATAGAGTATATTATAAGATATACAATATATTTGGTGACAGAATATATAACAAATTTAAGGTGAGTTTTTTGGTGCAAGGCAATTTAAGGCAATTCTTACGCAAGGAATATATCATTTGGTGACAGAATATAGAGTATATTATAAGATATACAATATATTTGGTGACAGAATATAGAGTATATTATAAGATATACAATATATTTGGTGACAGAATATACAATATAATACTATAACTTATACTAAATTTAGTATTACCAGTAGGTTTAGTATATTGAATATGAAAATTGATTTGAAATTCAAAACACCGCTACAAATGTATACTATTTTTGGGCAAACATTGACAGATCGTCGTCGTCGGCTCCATTAGCGTCTCGAAGTCCGGTGACTGTAATTAAATGTAGTAAAATGCATAGACCTTGGCTTCAATGCCTCGAAGACAACAAAAATAATTGGCAGGAAAGAGCAGCTGAAGGTGCGATTCATTCTCATTAATATTAACATGCACATATCTGCAAAACATTTTCCAGTATATCATATACAGTACTCGAATATAGTAGTTATGTATAGAAATACTGTATTACAATATACAGTACTGTATCATGTCTATTTATAACATTGAAAACTTCTCCAAACAATACAAGACATATAAAAATAATTTATTTTTTAGATTCAATTAAAAGCGAACAAAAACACAGAGGAAGTGGAGATTCAACGCCAGAATCAGAGTTATAGTGATATTAAAGTTATTGAGAGTTTGAAAGCAAACTTCGAGCAAATAATAAGACAAAAGTACATTCACTGACTATTATTTTTAGTGATTATAATAATGTTTGTGATGTTATTAATGAAAACATAATTTAAATAAAACTTATTGTAAATGATATCAGAAGTCCTTTAGAGAAAAAGTTTTTCAACAAAAATGCCTCAAAACTAAACTAAAAGCCACTATTGAGACCAATTTTTATTCACCGATTTTAGCACTCTATCAAAGACTTATATATATTATTATTATTGATATATATATGTATAATATAGATATATATATATTATATTATGCAAAGGAGTTCCCAAAATGTTTTTAACTAAAAATTAATTCTTAGTTTTCAAATATAAATGTTTCAAAATTTTTTAATTAACAAAAGCTATTGTTAACGAATATTGAGAAACTGTTATCAAGGAAAATACAAAACAATTGTTTAGAAAACTTCATTCAAATTCAAAACGTATTTTTGTGTAGATATTAATGATAATAATAATTAAGTTAATATATAAATAGAAAATTGTAAATAATTAATTAAATACTCAATTCTTTGGGCATTTCATAGATTTTAAGTAATTAACATAAAATTAAATATAATTTCACAAATTTGTTTGAATTGAAGATTCATTTGTTAAGAATGTATTATAATTTGATGAGAAGATGACTTTAAATAATCATATCATTCAAATTGAATCAAATATTTGAAAATATGTTAATAATTAATATGTAAAACAAAGTTTTCAAAGAATAATGACTTATAAATAGATTTTAAACAAAAAATAAAATGATATTTAATACAAACCCCGTGTTTCAATTTTAAATAATAAAATATATTTACTAATTAATAAAAGTGGGAAAACTGGATACAGTATACTGTAAGCTGACAATTATGTCTACTTAATATTCAATATGTTATTTTAGTAGAAATAAATGCGGATTTCAAGAATTTTAAGGAAGGCATATATTGTTTTAGAAACAAGTAAGTCTAACTTGTAAGTAAATTGTGCTTGAGTTATAATTTTAAAAGAAATGTGAGAATAATCGCTAAAACATTAGAGACTTTCTAATGATCAACAGTCAATTTGGTCATAAAATCAATAATCTCGTTGCAAAGTGATAACTGTTTGATATACAGTATTAAATCATTAAAATAAGGTTCAGAATATAATTGTTAACAAACAAATAAAATATAAATATTTATTAGAATATCAAAAATAGTGATAATACAGGTCTAATGGAAAATGAATAAAAATACGAAACATTGAATTCTATTAAATTTATCGATTGGTGTGGTTTTGGTTGTCATTTAGAGTGAATTGAAATGCTTGAAAGGGATTCAACATATAAGACCACAAATATCTATTCCTTTCAATCCATTGGTTGTATTGCAAGGGATTGCTGATAGAGGCAAAGGGAGGGAACATTGCATTCGCCCATCGATTCAAACCATTCTCAATGAGATTCACCGACGGCTCCATTGACTCGATATAATCACAGTTTAATTCGTTGTCATTTGAATCGACAAATTGTCGGCAATTGTGGTCGCCTTCGAAGCAATCAAATAAATGGTTAAAATTGTGTTCTTTGTGTTCATCGCAAGTCTTGTCAATTGTGGGCACCTCTTGAGCCACACTTTTATCAATCGATTCTTTATGTGAATCCGTTATCAGATTAGAAAGTTCTTTACTATTGATATCACATTTATCCACAAAACTATTGACTAAATTATCACAATTTATTGGCTTTACTTTCAGCTCTAAATTTGTGTTCATATTTGGTTCACAACTCTTTTCATTGTCTTTATTTAGACGCGAATTCTTCATCAGTTTGTATTCTTTAAGGATATCGTCAAAGGATTTGATTTGTGGCGAAGAATTGTCTGAATTATTGTCCACAATAGTAGGCCTCACGAGTGGACTGAGTTCTCCAAACTCTTCGGTTGTCTTTCCAGAATCCAAATGATTTCCAATGAGTGGAAAATCTTCAGTTGAGTCATCCATTAGCCAAATGTCTTCAGGAATAGGTTTCTTAAGCTCTTCGACATTCAGTTTGCAGTCTTTGATAATCTTTTGCAACAGTTCTGTCTCACGACCAGTGCTGGCAATAGTGATGGCAATGCCTCGCGTGCCTGCAATCCAATCAATTACTGCATTAGAGTTCATGTCATAAATACGGTGTAAATCCTATTGAAAACTAACCAAATCTACCGGCGCGACCGATTCGGTGTAGGTATGTCTGGGCGTCAAACGGTGTGTCCATATTAATGACTAAATTGATATTCTGGACATCAATGCCACGAGCGGTCAGATCAGTGGACACCAGGACTCGACACTTGTATTTGCGGAGTTTGGAGATGGCTTTGAGTCGGTCTGACTGACACCTCTCGGCGCTGATGTATGTGCTCTTCCAGTCCAAGGCATTCAATTTGTCACAAAGCATACGAGCCCTAAGACATAGACAATAATGGATCCGTTGAGTACATCGATAATCAATACAAACCTCGTCTGATAGTTAGAAAAGACCAGACATTGAGAGAAAGAGACATTCTTCAGGATATCGATCAATGGCTCGATTTTGTTGTCGAAGTTCATGTGATTCAAGTGATGGTAATCAGTGGTGGTGTAGAACTGCTTGACGCCAATGAGGGCCGGATTGTCGGCGTTGAGTCGCACGAAGACCGGAGTCCGCATGTATTGCGTCAAAAAGTCAGCCAACTCTGAGGTCATGGTTGCGCTGACGGCTATCGTCTGCTTGTTCTGCGGCAACGACTCGAAGATGTCGTCGATTTGTTGTCTGAAGTTGTGGTCCAAAAGTTTGTCGCATTCGTCCAAAACGAGTAAACGGATTGAATTGGTCTTCAAGACATTCAATTCAATCAATTGTTTGATTCTTCCGGGGGTTCCGACCACTGCCTGACATTTGGACAGTAGGTTCACGTCTTCCTTGAGTTTAGTGCCGCCGATCACTGGACAGCACCGGACCGTCGAGTGGGCGGCCAATGAGGTGATCACATGACTGGTCTGAACGGCGATCTCACGCGTGGGACACACAACCAGCACTTGGATGGCGCTCGACTCAAACGCTTCCAACAGTTCCAACGCTATCACCACAAACACACAGGTCTTGCCGGTGCCCGACTTGGACTGCAGGATCAGATCGAGACCACAGCGACCCAGAGGTATGGCATGCAATTGGATGGCAGACAACCGCACGAATCCGTTCGCCTCCAGACCTGACAACACATTCTCGCGAAGATTCAGTGATTTGAACGTCACGAACGACTCGTCATCTTCGGTCACATTGATGTCCTCCGACCGCCACTTCTTGTCGTTCAGATTGTGCGCCAATTGTGATGAAGACATCGATTGAATCCACTCTTGTCTTCAGTGTTGTCTTCAATGATCACAATTTGATGNATCTTCGGTCACATTGATGTCCTCCGACCGCCACTTCTTGTCGTTCAGATTGTGCGCCAATTGTGATGAAGACATCGATTGAATCCACTCTTGTCTTCAGTGTTGTCTTCAATGATCACAATTTGATGGACTGTTTCACTGAATGATTGCATGAGTTGTGCCACAAGTGTCTCAATAGAGGTCAGCACTGGTCTGACGTAAGCATACATTCACTTCACATGCAAACCATTGTTAGACTGAACTTCTGATCATTATTCTGACAATTCTTGTGGATATTGGGTATAAAGTTAGCCAGGTTTAAATATAAATGACTCCAATATTAATCAATTTTATACAAAATCAACAAATAGTCATATTATATACATATATATATATAATTGATTGAAAGTTAGATAAGATTTAAGATTAGGAAGTGGTATCATATTTGTTAATGATGTAAAAGTTTTAAACAAGAATATTTAAACAATATTTAACAGAATCTTATATTAAAGCTTATTAAATAATTGTAACTTATTACAAGTTAATGAATGTAACAATTTTTAATGTAATTGATGTGTTATATATTATATAACAATGTATTATATACAGTAAACATATTTTATGAACTTACATATAGTTTAAGTCATATATAATGGCACTGTTTTGGGGGTCGTCTCGCGCCGTATATACCGCGCAATTGTTACCGGAATTCGGTTCAATTTATAGCTTTTTTATTGAACTTCAAGAATTGATCCCAATTTATGTCTTAATTATCAATTATATGGCAAATAATTTGTCTTAAAGACAAGTCATAGCAGAAAGAGTTGTGCATTTCTATAAGAATATTGCCTTAAACAGCAATAACATTGCATTTGTACCCAAAGACCATAACCCACCTAACTGTCCACAGGCCAGACCTATTGAAAAGTTTTGGACTATTTGTAGAAAAGCTTACTTTAAGACATCGATCACATCTAAAACAACCAAAAAATTCACAAGAATTTGGAGAAAAATTAGTTTTTCTTTCGCAGAAAAGAGTGCACAGACTTTGATGGCAGGGGTCCGAAGAGTTCTTAAAGATATCGGAACCAATGGGTTGTATCAACCAATTAGACACAAGAAATGATTCAATACTATACTATTTACATGTCCATCAAATTTGACTCAAATATCTCTATTCGTTATAATTTTATAATAAAATGAAAACAGTGCCACTATATATGACTTATAGTTTATTTATAAAGCTAATAAAAAATATTAAAGTTTTCTTGATTTTCTTTTTCTTGTGAACTATTTATTAAAACAATATTTAATAGATTAGTTAAGATTTAGTATTTTGACCCCTTTTTCATATAAAGGATGCAAACATTCATTTGAATTGTATGTCATGAAACACATTATTTGTAATACAGTATTAGATTTGAAATAATTGTAAGTTAAATAACAAGTTTAGCAAATATTTTGAGGCCAATTAATTCATTCCTAAAAATTTGACATTTTTATTAATTGTATGTCATGAAACACATTATTTGTAATACAGTATTAGATTTGAAATAATTGTAAGTTAAATAACAAGTTTAGCAAATATTTTGAGGCCAATTAATTCATTCCTAAAAATTTGACATTTTTATCAACTATATGATGTTTTGTGAGTTTTGAAAACTATTTGACAAATTGAATGTTCTAATTAAAAACTTTTGAAATATGAAAAACATATTCATCATTACTTTCTGCTTATATTTATTGTCATATTTGCCGATTATAGAGAATTTATTATTATGTGCAAAAAGTTCATCACTTTCTCGTCGTTTTCAAAGTGTCTTGAATAAAAATATAGCCATTCGTTCAAATCATATTAAACTAAATAAGAGAGATATTCTCCACGGGTTTTCTCGTGTCGATTATGAAGCAAATAATAAGTTTGAATACAAACCAAGTTTTGAACAAAATTTTGCTGAAATTCCTTTGGTTGGAGTGGAGACCAAGAATAAGAGCTCACATTTAAGTGAAGTGAATATAAGTGCAGATTTGCCACAATTGCCAAATTGGGATAATTTGTTTACACCAACCGCTGACATCAATAGACTTAAGAGGAATATTGAATTACTTTTGTATTTGCCTCGCAATGGATTAAGTAACCCGTCCGCCAAACTTGATATTCAGCACCAGATCTTCAATATATTCAATGAAAACAATTTGATAACATCCACACAAAAGTTTACAACACATACTATCGATTCCTCACAAGTATGTGCTTTTAAATAATTAATAATTTTTTAAAAAGTTTAATTTCATTTTATTTATTTAGCAATTAGAAGGACTCAACATTATAGGCATATACCCGGGTATATATAGATCGAGTTCTTTTGATAAAATTCTACTCATTGGCGCACATTATGATACCGTTGACAACACCGGTGGTGTCAATGATAACGGTTCCGGTGTGAGTGCACTCCTCGAGATAATCCGTTTAATTAACATTAATAACTGTCGGCTCACATATACACTGATGTTTGTGGCCTTGGATTTAGAAGAATATGTATATTCTTTATATTAATATAAATTACTATTATTTAATGATTAAAGCATCTTGGTATTCCTTAGGGAGCGCTAGGAAGCAAAGCATTTGTCAACGAATATCTGATACCAAAAGAACTTATGTCCAAAAGAGCCCAATTTGAGGGCGCCATCATTCTGGACACCATTTTAAATTTTAATCATACAATTGGTTCTCAAGACATTCCTTATGACATCCATAGAGTAAGAATTTTATATCAAGTTTTCAATGAGTCTGTGCTGTCGTAACATTAAAGAGCAATTGATTCATTAACTGATTAATTCTTTGTGTCTTTACCATCACTGTTGAGGCTCTGCCGCAATGGAGTCGACAGATAAAAGACAACAAATTTGTCGGCGATTTCTTAGCCCTAATATATCGCAATCAAATTGAAGATAACCTCAGAAATAACATCAAAACCTTTTGGGAATTAGAGTCGAGACAAACTGTGTATAAAATAAGTGAATTGAAAATCAATTCATTGAATTCAACGATTCCTGACTTCAAGACTCTCTCAAATCACGCAAATCTCTTGAGAAGCGATCACATGATGTTCTGGTATCACAACAACTCTTTATATAACGATACACTTAAGGCAGTCCTCCTCACAGACACCGGTATAGCATATAATCATATATCTTATAAAATGGTACAATCAGTATAAGATAATTCATAATTATTCTCAATGTTTAACTGTAGGTCCGTTCAGGGGCTATATGAGAGACTGTTATCACATCTCATGTGACAATACAACACATTTGAATGAAAATAATTTAATGTTTTTAAAACAAACGGTTCAAATGTTGACCCGAACAGCCGTCAAACTGTGTTCGGGGACATGTAGTCCCTCTTAATGTTCGGGGACATGTAGTCCCTCTTAAGAGGCCTTAAGTTAAATAATAATTTAATATTTAGCATATAGTAGAGATAAATTGTAACTGTTATTAATTTATGGTTTAATATGTAATCAAAATATAATCAATTGAAACATTTTTAGAAAAGCAGACAATTGTCTCATAAATACAGAAATCATTTATAAATCTAATGAGTCTTTAAGCGAGGGATCAATTCTCAAGGAAAGCCACATATTCTGTGAGTTTTCCCAACTGTTCTTCACTCGAAGACAACTCTTCGCTATTAATGGATGGTTTGGATGGCTTCACGAAACGGGTCGTCGTATCCAAAGTCCAGCCGAGACTTTGTATGGTTTCGATGGTCTGGTCTTCGGTGAGTCCGATGTAATGAATCACTTCATCCAAACTGATTGATGTGAAGCCCTTTGAGATCAGATTCAATGCTCTCTTACGAGTGGTCTCTAAAGAGGTAAAAGAGACAAACATATGATAAAAAAGTGTTCATTTGTGGGTCAAACACAAGACACTGACCGCCGATATACTTCATGACATTCTTGAGATGGTTGGGCCACTCGTAAGTGGACAGCAATGGATAGATTGCCGGCAAATCCCGGTTCCACAGCTTGAGTCCAATGTCCCAAATGTGAGACAACTCGGGGTTCTCTGTCTTGACAGTCGTCGGGATCCTCTTCCACAACAACTTAGCGTTCGCTCTAAACATGCATTCAATTGATCCAATGATTGTGAGATGGGCTCCAAGACATGACAAGAGACCACACTTACAGATCATTGCACAGCAAATAGATGGCCAGAAGCTGTCCGTAGATCTGCGGCGATGCCATCCCTCCCATTGACTGCAACTCCTGGCGCTCCAGATCTGTGGCCAACGCCGAGTAATCGGGCTTTAAGTCCATTGTCTCGCTTGCGGTGATATCTCCAGACAATAACCACTCATTCAATGGGCAATGGGTTGAGTCAATGAATTCACTCCACAAATAACGTGTCACTCATTGGAGGGAAGGGTGTGTGGAATGTAGTGAATGTGAACGGGTTGTCAAATGGGGTACACAATAGACTGCACAGACATCCACTGCATTGACCCTCAAATGCATTTCCAGTCAAATGTTGCCGTAATTTATGACAAGTTTTACACAAATTTTCAAATATTAATGAAAACAAAAGGATTGACAATAAGTTTGCCATCAATTCATGTCTTCATCCCATTGATCACCACTTAATCGGACACTGAATCCGTATAATCACCGAAATTATGGGTAAATATATGGGTTGGAAGTGATTGAGACGATGACATGACATGAATGGTGTCTTCTTCAGAGCAAAAGAGCGAAATCGACGAAAACGACACAAACGGCGAGGAGGAGGACGAAGAGATGTCCACCAATGGAGACAATCAACAGATGACGTCCGACAACAGCGACAATCAGTCGATGTCTGTGTCACACGTGGGACGCAAGCCACTCAATGGTATGCCCTGTAGTCTCAAGACATTAGTCAACGACAAGATACTGGAGCCGAAGGACGGATCACTTTCTATTGAATACATGGTATGTGTGAAGAGATTAGTGCATTGATTATCACCTAACGGTTGCCATGATTTGCACGAAAGGGCGCTAAGTTTATGGCAGACCTGTTGCCCAACGGATCCATTCGGCTGACAGAGACAAAGCAGGTGTTTGTGAGCCCTTCCTCGTGGGTAAACCACTGCCGAAAGCTGGTCAGCGGTGACGCCAAACTGGGCAGCGCCTGGTCTACCATCAGATACGACGGCAAACGTCTCGACTCTTATAAACTTCGGTGGTATCGGAAGCAGAAGAAAATGGCCGGAAATAAAGACTCGGACATTACTTCGAGCCATTTGGACGTCAAGTCTGGCATCTGTTCCAAGAGTGGGCTATATTTGAACGAATCGGTGGACATCGAGAAGTATGGAAATAAGACACTTAAGGACGTGAATGTTGTCGACCATAAACTTCTGGGCAACCGATCGGATGACCGGCCGACGAATGTGATGGTGAAGTGTCAGCCGTTCTCAGCATTGGATCGGATCCAGCCGTTCACTATCACCATATCGACCAATGCTTTACTTCTCATTGACTTTCACTGTCATCTCACAAACCGTGAAGTAGTTGGCTATTTAGCGGGCAATTGGGATGTCGGCGCCCATAACTTGGCTATAGTTCAGGCGTTTCCCTGCAGAAGCAAACTCACCGACAGAGACAACTCAGCGATGGTCGAGGAGGAGATCAAACAGGCCTTGGAGAGGAGACACTTGAATCTGATTGGTTGGTACCACAGGTACAGTATCTGTTGAATGCATTATTTGTTGTGTTGACCACTAATTGAGATTTATTTCACACGTCACCCCATAGTCACCCGAAAGCAGTTCCCCAGCCGACCATTAAGGACATCGACAGCCAAATGGAATATCAGATCGCAATGAAAGGCGAAAGCGATTCCTCGTATACGCCATGTGTTGGACTCATTTGTGCGCCTTTTTATGAGTATAACGACGGTCTGTCCGCCACTTTCCAGGTCTATTGGGTTATGCCTCCCCCAGAATACCGGCCCAATGAATATGGAAAACCAATGCAAATGACTTATACCGTATCCAGGGATTCATTCCTCACACAAGACTTACTCTTAGAAATGGTTTGTATCTTAAAAATGATTGATTCACTTAAATATTAAACTGTTTCTCATTTGTATTTATAGCGACTTTTGGCCCACTTTTACGCCGTTTCTAATGATTTCATTCAATTTGGCAAAGATTTTAAAAATAAGCAAACATTTTGGCAAAAACTTCAGACTTCACTGAAATCCAAATTACCTCGAGATCTACTTGATATCGAGGGACAGTCCACATCTCAAGCACAGGTCCAACAACAAGCGTTGTCACACTTCTGGGCTTTTATTAAGGGTTTGCTTATGCCTTAACTTATGTCCAAAAGTCTTAAATAAATAATTACTTAATTGATGTCTTATGGGATCATTAACATTGCATATGTTGTCAAACAATTGGAATCTCATTAATAATTCATATAAAAAGTTATATTTATTTTACATATTGTAATTATTTTGATGTTTAATTAAATTAATTCTCAGCTATTCATTCATTTGATTTAATTGATAATCAATACACTTATAAAGACTTAGGAATTACTGAATATAATTTATATTGAAATTTGAAACCAATCATTTTTGTTATATTATGAGAAATCCGGTGCTTTTATTAAATTCATTTGTAAATATACTTTTTTGAATAAAGGCTTATAAAAGGCTGATTTTTTCAATTGATTTAAATTCATAATTTATTCACTCAACTGATGTGACTGCAAGTGAATCGAGACTAACTGTTTGAGCACTAATTCAATTAGTGTTTATGTCTAAAGTCTAACTGTTCAATATTAATGCCATACTTATTGCAATTATATTCTGTCGGAATAACAATGAATTCACTTATTTCCGTCAAATGTTGTATTATTTATACTGTTAATTGTTAACTAATTTATTTCTGTTATTGCATTTCGTTGAATGCCATATATTCAATTTTAAATGGTTTTTGAATATCCCTGACAAGAATTTTTAAAAATCTATAAACTATTAAATAACTTGATAATGTAAAAAATTGATTCTAAAATATGAGTCACAATTTTCATAATTTCTATAGAAATGCAAAACTAAGATGACTCATACTGTATAGCTTATTATTGACTGAATTTAATTAAGATTCTTTCATTCAATATTTGTTAAGCTTCCGAGAATAAAATACTGTAGAGGACTACATCTGAATCTACATTTAATAAGCAGTATTGAATAATAAGAAATTTTATTACTCTATAGAGAAATAAGATAACAATTAAGATATCATTGATTACTTTAGTGAGAGCTGTGTTCATATTCTATAGCTATTTGTCATACAGTATTGATTTCATTTTATAAATAATGCATCAATTGTTAAAAGTCTTAAAGTCATTGAATTTCATGTCAAGTTCAATATAACAGTAAAATCAATACAAATAATATCACTGTTGTTATAATAATAATTTATTTTATTTTATTTTATTAATTTACGTTTACATAACAATAACATAAAACACTATCTTATGGTCATCTCTGCAGTCATTGATAAGGGAGTAAAGAGTGTATGAGTTTGTGGTCATTCACCAGTCACTCAATCACTCACTTTCCATACATTTATACATTTAATTTCACAATAAAAAGTATGATTGAAATTCTGTAAACTAATGCCTACAGTATTACAGGTACACCGAAACGTTTAAATAAATGCCCATTTATTTGAAAATCATTTACTAGAATTCAATTTATAGACTATAGTTTTGTTTGATTATATATTTTTATGTAAATTTTTTATATAAAGGCAGTTTTCTTATCGATTAATTCGTAAGTTTCAAAATGAATGAATGCAGGCCTGTACTGAATGAACTGGCTAATATATTGAAAAATTGCTGCGAATTTAGTATTGAATGGAAATTGGAGACAAAATGAAAAATATAGAAATTTTGTCTCAACTTTCTGCTGATACTTTGACAAGTAATTTGTTTTAAGGCACTCTGACTATAGTTTACATTACAGTTAAGTGAAATGAGACAATCGTTAAATGCAAACGTTTTAATTATATGAACACAATCATGAATATTCCCATTCATTGGATCTCAATTAAAAAGATTAACAGCAACTCAAAAGGCATTGATTTTGTGTGAAACTATAGAAAGCAAACTCTGATTGTGTTATTTTATAAGCGAAATCATTATTTAGAGTATAGTGTAGTACAGAATTGAATACAAATACAATTGCTTTCTATTCAAATCATTCAAATGCTTTTCTATTATTACATTAATTTATAATAAAATTTGAACAAAGTTTTCGCCCAAAATTATCATCCAAAATGAGACTAATGTTTATTTCGGGCGGATCTGAAAAATAAGAGAAAACCGTTGAAAATTGAAAACAATTTTCTAATTTTGTAGAATTACTGCTAATTTATAATTTAGTAATTGCATGAAAAATCTGTGCAAAATATTTATATACCTTTAATTACTTGGTATACTAACTTATAATGAATTTAAATCATAGTCTCATTTAACTTAACGTTTTTCGTAATGTTTGCTTTTAACGGAGGATATGAAAAGTGGGAAAAGAAGTAGAGTTTGATGTATGGTTTGGTAGTATTGACTAAATTTGTGATATAATACGTGAATTGATTGAATGGTTTGAGAAGACAGGCTTCGAGTGATTTATCACTGGTTTTGGTTGCCTTCGCATCGTTTTCACTGTTGTCTCACTTTCTCTTCATTCTCTTCATAAGCTTTTATTGTAATTATAATTCAATATTTGATTGCTTTTCATAACTTTATATCAATTACTTTCATATATCAAACCTTTCTCCTTTAAGATATATAGAGGACTAAAAATTTGGATTAAAATATTTTCAATCAATAAATAGGAAACAAATAATTGAAATATTGTTTGTTCTGAAACTTTATTCAATAGAGAATAAGTAGAAAAAGCATTTTATACTATAATACAAACTTAAATAACTTACAATTAATAACATTTTCAGTAAAATATATGATTTGTATTTTTGAAAGTAAAAGTGTAATAAAGATTTGAAAATAAATATATGAAATCTCCGCTATATATCCGATAATATAATATGAATATACTTTTAATCAAACGCACCATT